TGTCACTCAGGTCTCTCTTCCTCTTCTTCTAAAGCCACCAGTCCCCCTTCCATGATAGCCCATTAATCGGCTAGCTCAGTGATACATTAATCCATGAAGGGATTGAACCATTTATGAGGGCAGAGCTCCCATGATCCAATCCCCCCTTAAGGCCCTATCTTTCAGTACCGCCACGTTGGGATTAAGTTCAACAGGAGTTTTGAAGGGGGACAATCGAACCGTAGCAGATGGTAGCTGGATTCAGTGTTGGTATGATTTTCATGTGAGTTTACACTCTTTCAGGTCTTCTTCTGGTATCTGTAAGAGCACCAGAGAAAATTCTTAAAAATACTCCGAAATCTCACTCTGAATTTACCTTCAGTTGGCTGCAGCAGGCCCCATCTTTTCTCAGGGCAAACAGACAATTCCAAGGGGGTTCCAGAGGGGTTGATTTGGATAGAATTGATTCACCCCACTGCTAGATGTACCTTTTCTGACTAGCAACATTTCAGGGCAGGAGTACTGTCAATATTTCCCCCCCAATTTTCCGGATATTATGATGTTTGGATATCTTCAAAAACCTTTTCGTCTGGGGAGAGACTGTCCCTCGGGGGCTAGCCAGTGCCCAAGAGATGGCAAAAGGCCCAGCCCGGAGCATGCGTTGATTTGCAAACTAACCAATCCAGACCTGTAGCTCCCCTATCTGGCCTACATACCCCCAGGAGGCGATATTCCTCTGCCTAAGTCATCCCGGGGTCAGATGCCAGGCAACTAAGGACAACCCCTGTAGTCCAGAGCCCACAGAAATTATTCATACTAGCCAATCCTAAACTGTTCACCCTGCCCTGACTTGACTCTCCTAGGAAACCCCAATACAGATAGTGATATAAACCCTCCCCTTGCTCCAGACTTCTGCCTCCTGGTGTCTTTCCCACGTGGCCCTGCATGGCATGCTGTGCCTCCTGTCTCTAGGATCTGTGAGTGTAATAAACATCGTTTTCCTAAGACTCTCTTCCATCTTTTCCAGGAATTTAAGGACACAGTGTGCTAGGAGCACTCCAGTATGGGCAACATAGGGAGATTCTATTAAAAAATAAACAAACAATAATACAAAATAGCAGGTATCCCAGCCCCTCCATATTTTGACAGGGTATAGCAAGACCAGTATATAATAGCCCAGTGTAGACACAACTATACCAAATCATTTTTTTAAGCAGGAGAGGGAAAAAGGGTGGTTCCCCTGCCATTTGGTTGTGTGATGAGAAGATGACCCTTTGTCTCCTAGAGGCTACCAACCTACCTGGGATATTGTTGGCTGTAGCCAAGATGTGCGAGCGGGCCTCTTGTTCTTCCCACTTGTATTTAATATGTATTCCTGAAGAATCTGCTTTCCCATCCCTTATTAAGAGAGTTTGGCATCTTCTCACAGGGAATTTCCATGATGTCAATGTACTTTGGTGATTATGAGGGCTGTCCAAAAAGTATCCAGCCGTTGTTAATACTATTTTTCGTATGACATGGCTGGATACTTTCCAGACAGCCCTTGTATATGCACATTAATAATCATGGTACCCTGACTGTAGGCTATGTTTTCAAGAGAGGATAAAGCCCCAATTGGTATTTGATGGTCAAAACAGGTAAGGATGGACCCCTGGGCTTTGCCCTTGATGAGCTTGCAATCCTACTAACCAGCCCACAGATGCTGGGCTATGGGTGCTCTGCTGGGTGCCCTAGATGTGGGCAGGGCTGCAGGAGGCACCTGGTTGTCCAGTGGTCCTATCAATACTCCCTTTCCTCTGGCCAATCGGCCTTAAGCCAAGTTTTCTAACCGGTAGCCTTGTTGCATGGAACACTGCTGGGCATTGGCCATCACTTTTAAGACCAAACATTGTCAATATTTGTTGTTAATAGAAATATGTGTCTGGCCTTGTTTGGTGGAATTGGAAAAGGGATATCATTATCACCAAATGTCCTACATAACACTGCAAGCAGAAGTGCCTGCATCTGGTCCAAACTTTGCTTTTGGCAGAGGACAAGAAACCATCTCACAAGAATAGTGACTTGGAGGAGATCTCCACAGGCCTGGATTCTCGCCTTCTCTTCCATTTGTCACGGTATGATTTAGGATGGACAACGGACCTTCCCCCCACTAGCCTCTTTTGTTTGTTCTTCCTAGCTGGGGCAAGAGTTGGGGAGATAGAGATACCAGAAAATGCCAAAGGTTGGGCTGAAGCGGTGGTGTGACCAGGAATGCAACCTACCTCCAGTGAATGAGACACAGTTACTTCCTCTCTACTTTGGGGAGGGGCCAGATCAGGTGACTAGAACTGTCTAGGCCTAAAGGTCTCACAGGACTCCTGATGTCCACCTCTCTGAGCTATGCTCCACCTTACCTTTCAATGAAAAGTCTATCATGAATATCAATTCTGCGAGTGAGTTTTTATTATGCGCCTGTGGGTTTGTGGGAATGATGCCGAGGGATCAGGGGAACAAAGAGGGAGGACGCTTCTCAGGTGTGGGGTCTCAGCCTGGATGGCAAGGTGGAAACATAGCTCCAAGTTGGCCTGCCAGCCCCTGTGAGAAGGGGAGAAAGGAAAAGGACCCCGTGTGCCAGCTGTTTTCAGCTGAGGCCAAAAGTATCAATGGCCAAGAGGGAGACAGAGACCAGCTTGGTCCAGCTCCCCATATTGGGGCGAGGGAGTCGGGCTGGAGGGCTGCCAAGCCTTTCCTCAGAGCAGGTAAGCCACCTGCTCCTTCTGCATGGGGCAAACCTGGGATTTGAGCTACATTACCCAGGAGGGTTTCCAAATCCAGAGGAAATGTGACTTCCCAATTACTCAGGTGACTTTGTCAGCTTTGGATCAATGGTGGGGGGGCTCCCTGATATTATCTGGTTGGGACTCACGAGGCAGCCTCCTGTGGGCTCCAGCTCCATTACATTCCCTTCGTCACTTTCTCATTTAGGATCTGGTTTTACATGTAAAATATACCGGTAAGTACAGCAGTTGTTGCTCTTTTAGACAAATGTCTGAAGCAGGAGGGTAAATAACCTTCCCGAGGCCTTGGAGCTGCTGGTGGAACCCTCGGGCCAGGCAAGCGCACGCGAGTGGGCGGGCCCAATGTGCACAGTCTGCCTTCCGGCTGGACTCCCCCTCCCTTGGCCTCAAAGATCTGATTTCTCTCTTTTCCAGGCACATCAATACAAGAGACAAACTATTTAGAAACTAAACGCCTCAACAGTTTATTTCTTGTTCAAAGTATGGCCAAATGGTTTTATTGCATTTACTATTCCTGGATATGTAGATGCATCTACACAGAAACAGTAACTGTAGTTATAAAATCTTTTAACTTTCTGATTGGGTTTGGAGCAGAGGCTTCTTGATGTGAAAATTACGTGGGTGACAAAAGAGCATCAGGCACCTTGCGTTCACTTACCCAGGCTAATGCCCATGGTGGGACCTGATGTACAGAGTACGAAATACCTACCTGGGTGTGGCCTTCAGATTCAGCCACTGCTCCGTTACAGCCTCGGCGCCTCCCCATTGCTGAGCCTAGCTGACACAACCAGTCTTCCGGCAACAGTGAGACCACATTTTTGATTGCTTGAGGTTTCACTACCAATGGTCTCTCACAGTCCAGAACCCCAGGCTACAAACTTTAAAGACTTAAGATCTTCTAAGCAGAGGATACCAGCCCTGAGTGTGGATGCTTGGGGCCGGATCCTGCCTTCAGTGGAACCGTGAGCAAGCTAACCGGTTTGCAGTGACTCGTGTGAATCAGTAATGACAGCACACTGAAGGATTAACTGGAGTTGCGGGTTGAATTGTGTCCCCCTAAAATTCCAATGTTGAAGCCCCGACCTCTAGTACTTCAGAATGTGACTTTATTTGGAAATAGCCACTGCAGATGTAGATGAGGTTATACTGGAGTAGGAAGGGTGGGCCCTAATCCAATAGGACCGGTGTCTTTATACAAAAGGGAAATTTGGAAACAGACCAGCCATGGCGAGAGCACCACATAACAATGAAGGCAGAGATTGGGCGATGATTTTACACACCAAGGAACACCAACAATTGCCAAGAAAGCACCCAAAGCTGGGACATGGAGCAGATTCTACCTCAGGGCCCTCAGAACAAACTCTGCTGACACCTTGACCTGGGACTTGTAGCCTCCAAAATTACGAAACAATTCATTTCTGTCATTCTGAGCCATGTGGTGCTTGGTACTTTCTTACAATAGCCGTAGGAAACTAACACAACGGGGTACTCTAAGTGTCTGCAGAGTAGGAAGTCATGGAAGATTCTGTTCAGGGCTTGGCTCGCCCAGACAGAACCCTTCATCAGGGGCTGAGCTCCATATTCCTAGACAGGACAGAGTGGCAGGAGGGATTTAAGTGCCTTTTAAATGATGACAACTCCGTTTCCATCCCATAAGCACTCGCCAAGGGCCGTCAGGGTACAGAGACAAGACATTTTTGGGAGGGTGTGCGACATAATTTAAAATGCAAGCTTTGCCTTGATGAGCTCCTGCTCCGGAACAACCAGCCGCCAAGCAAATCAAAAGGCATGATGAGCTTCCCAACCTCAAGGAGCTCTGGGGCTTCCCACCATGGACTCCGGGCCCGAAAGGCCACCTGATAATCTCAGGGTCTCCGCGGTGCTCCTTGCCTGTGGGCCTGATGGTCAGGGACCTGGGCTCAGACTTCTGGTGACATGACACGGCTGTTGTGCCTGGCACTGCTCCTCACTGCGCCTGCAAGTCCTCCCCGCCCATCGCCCTCCAGCAGCACCCTCAAACTTCAGAATCCCACGGTAGTGTTTAGGCGGGGTAGGATGGAAAGCAGTGTACTGAGGGTTGGTTGGTGACCGAGGGGTTGCTGCGACAGGGGCAACGCAGTCCCCTCCGCGAGCTTTGAGAGCATTTGGCAGGGGTCCCTAAGACCAGACACACCTGGCACGTGGAAGCTGACAGTGACACACCCTCCCTGTTTTTTGGCACAGCAGACACAAAAGACTCTCCAGTGGCCACTATCTCACTATCTGTGGGGAGGGGGGCCTGCCACGGCACCACACGAAGGTTGGACACTACCTGAGAGCAAAGGGCAGGAGGAGGTGTGCCGTCTGTCCTGGGGAAGGCGCGGCACGGTTGGGGAGGGGGCGATCAGTACCAGCGTGAGAGGGAAGCACCGCCCAGGGGCCGCCAGGCCGCGGGCTCAGTAGGAGTTCAGAGCCTGCTTGGACCGGCGCTTCATGTGCAGGCGCTCGTGGCGCAGGAGGTCGCAGTTCTGCTTGAAGCTTTTGACGCAGTAGCGGCACTGAAAGGGCCGGGCTTTGTCCTTCGGGTGCAAGCAGCTGCGGTGCCGGGCCAGGTGGTCGTGCCGCTGGAACGCCTTCCCACAGTCACAGCACTGGAAGCTCAGCCTGGCCTTGCCGTCTCCCGGCAGGTCGCTGGGATCCTCGCCAGCGTCCCCTGAGGGCCCCTGCTCTCTCTTCTTCACCTGCTCGAGTCCGGCTGGCTGCAGGTGTATCCGCCGATGCGAGAGCAGGTGGGAGTTGAGGCGGAAGCTCTTCCCGCAGGAGCCACACCGGTAAGGCTTCTGAGCCTCGTGCGCCTCCAGGTGCCCGTCCAGGTCCTCGCTGTCACTAAACAGCTCCCCGCACACCGAGCACTCGTGCGGCTTCTCCTGCTCCTTGCGGCTCCGCAGGTGCCGGATGAAGTTGACTCTCCAGCGGAAGATTTTCCCGCAGTTCGGGCACACGTAGGACTTTTTGGAGGAGGCCTGCACTTCGCCCCCCGCCTCGGCACTGCTCCGGCGGGAGGCGGGGGGGCCGCGCTGCTTTTCCGCAGGGCTCCCCAGCTCTTCAGTGCAGTACGGGCTGTGCTGGGAGTCCTCATCCCCGGAGCTGGACAGGACAATCTCGATGGTCACTTCCTCCTCGAGGCTGTGCTGTAGGGATGGCGGGCCGCCTCCAGCTACAGGAAAGCACGGTGCAGGTTAGTGGCGCTACATCCCAGCCCTTAGGAATCTGACCCAGGAAGGTTCAGCGTGGAGTCCAGAAACCCACACTTTTGCAACGCTCCTTGGTGACCAGGGCGTCCAGCCAGTCCTGCGGGGGCCACTGGTGTAGCCCGTGAAAAGGAAATTCTTAGCATGGGCCGCACTGTGTCCAAAGCAGCCTGGGGACCGCTTTATCCTCTCGCTCCCTCCTCCCAGCCATTTTCCCCTAATCCCCGCCCCCACCCTTTTATTCTCTAGCCACTGAGAACCACCTCCTCCACCCCCCAAGCCCTAAGAGTCTGTATTTGTCCGTGTAAACCCTTGACCATTTACGCATTATTTATTACCACCTTACTTAACCAGGTATAGGGAAAAATTCTATCAGGATATGTTAAAGTACTTAGGAGAGAGGCAGACCCTACATTCTACACATGGAGTTCCAGGAAGGTGCCGGATACCATGCTCTGCACACTTAAAATGCTCCAGGGACTGTGGCAGGCTTCGGACATGCACGGCCCCATTTGCTCCTGGATATTATTATTACACCACGTTAGACACACAAACAAAGGCGATCTGTCCCAGGGAGGAGGGTTGAAGTGGTACTCGAGCCCTGCTGGGCTGACATTAAGGCTGCTGCTGCCCAGGGTCACTGAGTCCCCCCAGCATCTTCCCCTCTCAGTGTCACTGCACTTCTGAGGCCCCCAGCGCTGATGGGTAGAGATGCTTCAGACTTCCCAACCAAGGCTGAGCTGGCTCAATGGATCCCGAGTCTGTGACGGTGGAAGGAGGTACCACGGGGAGGGGTGAGCAGGCAGCAGGGAGTCCAGCCTGAGGTCCTGACCTGTGGCCCAGAGCCCATCACACTGGTGGCCTGTTTCCCCACTTTCGTAAAATGTGGAACTCAGGTCTAGACCCCGGGGTGGGGGGGGGGGCGGTGCTGGGCCCTCCCAGACAGTAGTAAAAACATGGTCGGTCTGGACTTACTGGCTGGGGGGAGGGCCCTGGCAGGTTAGAGCAGCTTAGGGCAAGTGCAGCTGGACAGACAGAAGCAGGGCAGGAAGAGCCAGAAGCTACAGAGAGCAGCAGAGATGACCGGCAGCAGCAGAACCCGTGGGGCGTTTGTCCATCAGTCAGAAGGCAAAGGAGTGGGGCTCAGGGAGAAGGGGAGCCTGCGTGGCGGGCCAGGAGCCTGCCGAAAACCCACACAGTGTCAGAGAGAAATCACCAGATGAGGGCAGAGCGAGTTTCATGCTCATCTGTCCTCTTGGTTTTCTAGTTGCAGAGGCCTCGTTCTAGCCAGACGGCTTCTCTGAGCTTGGGTCCCTTCATCGTAAGGTGAGCAGGACACTGGCAGCCCATCGCTCCAGGCTGCTGGTGGGGTAACTGAGGTCATGCGTGTGACGTACTTTGCGGGCCTCATAGAGTGGACAAGTGGAGCGTCTTAACTAACTTCCATCAGCTGTCGATGAAAGGACACCTGATCGGCAATTCACCTCTGTTAAGTGCTAATGGATTTTGGTGGAGGAAGGAAAAACAGTGCTACAGGAGACTGCTAAGCCCTTGTCTGCTACTGGGTGAGGAGCTGGAGTTGCGACAGCAGGCAGGGCATGCTATGGGCTGAACTCTGCCCGCCTGAAAATTCGTATGTCAGGTCCTAAGCCTTAGTACCTCAGAACGGACTGTATTCGGAGATGGGGTCTTTTAAGAGGCAGTCAAGTTAAAATGAGGTCATATGAGTGGGCCCTAATCCAATAGGAGTGGTGTCCCTACAGGAAGAGGAAATTCGGATGCAGACCCAGAGGGAAGACCATGTGAGGACACAGCAAGAAGGGGGCTGTCTATAAGCCAAAGGAAAGGCCTCAGAAGAAACTGACTCTGCTGACAGCTCAGGCTTGGACTTGGAGACTCCAGAGTTGTGAGAAAATAAATTTCTATTGTTTAAGCCACGCGGTCCGTGGTACTTTGTTCTGGTCGTCCTGGTAGACTGGTACAGACTTTGGCACCAGGAGTGCGGGGCAGCTGTAACAAATACCAAAAAATGTAGGAGTGATTTTAGAACTAGGAAATGGTAAAGGCTAGAAGTTTTGAGGTGTATGTTAAAGAAAAAAAGCCTTGCAGAGACGGCTGGCAGAAACACGGACACTAAAGGTACATCTGGTGAGAGCTCAGACAGAAATGAGGAACATGTTTTTGGAAACTGGAAGAAAGGAGATCTGTGTTATAAAGTGGCAAAGAACTTGGCCAAACTGTATTCTGGTGTTTAGTGGAAAGTAGAAATTGTAAGTGATGAATTTGGATATCTAGCTGAGGCGTTTTCTAAGCAAAGTGTTGAAGGCATTGCCTAGTTTCTCCTTGCTGCTTACCGTAAAATGTGAGAGGAGAGAGAGAAATTAAAGAAGGAATTCTTATGTAAAAAAGAACCAGGACATCAAGATCTGGAAAATTCTCAGCCTCTTGATATTGCAGAAACAAAGTGTACTCTGGAAAGAACACCGAGAGCATGGCTGGAAAATCATGTGCTGAAGAGATAATGTGTACAACTCACAGATCCAATCAGCCATCTCAGGAGCAGGCAGGAAAACAGACAGGGCTATTCAGGAACAACCTAGGGAAGACTCTCCAGTCTGATGGCTTGGACCCCATGAACTGCATGGGAGGGCAAGGTTTTTGAGAATTTTATACCAGCGGAAACCCTGCCAACTTGGACTGAAGGGAACAGAGGTGGGATGAAATGAAGGAATGCTGTTGGACTTCTGGGATTTCATAGAACAGGCCAATAGAGCTATCTGGCTGCAAACATGTATTATCCTTCAAAAGAAGGGAAGAAGGATCCCAAAGGCCACTCAGAGGTTACAGGGCTGCCATTGCCATCACGGGTCCAGAGGGCACAGGCCAGGGGGATGGAGGCATCACCTCCTGACTTTCAAAGGGCAGGGCTGCCACCCTCGTGGGCCTGGAAGGTGGTAACCTGGAGGACAGAACTGAGCCAAAGATTATTCTTCCAAGGGAATTTGCCCTGCGGTAGGTTCTAGACTTGCTGGGACCCATCATCCTTTCTTCTCTCCAGTTTCTCCCTTTTGGAATGGGGTGGGGTGTTACTGAATTGACTGTCAGGATAATGTTAGGAAAGATAGGAAAGAGTTATTGGTCCAAATGCCAAAACATATATTAAATCACTTAATTTTTAACAGTAACTCTATAAGGCAGCTATAACCATTATCTCTGTTTTATAGATAAAAAAATTAAAGCAGAGAAATGAGGTTGTCCAAGGTTTCAGAAGAATTGAGCCCAATGTGGGTGGAGGACCAGCCTGTGGCCATGAGGGTAGCAGCCAGGCCACTGCGAGTGTCCACGGGGGGGCAGGGTGGGGTGTTTGTAGTGGGTGGGGTGGCAAGGCCTGCACCTAGGCCATAGCTAACACTGCAAGAAGGGCACTCCGTGGGCTGGAAATAAATGGTTTCCTGTGAGCTGGAGGGGTTGAGAAAAAGCAGGAAGGATAGGAAACTAGCTGTGAAAAACCAAAATGATAAAGGCATTATTAAAAAAGCACAGAATAGTCTTATAAAGTTAGGATGGGGCGGCTTTCTTAAGCAAGACATAAAACCAAAAAGATGATGAATAAATGTATTTACATTTTAAAAATATAAAAAAACACTTTTATATGCTGCAAGACACATAAACAAAGTTTTAAAAAATCGGAGAAACTACGTGTAAAGACGTAAGAGGAAATGGATTCACACCCATAATTTTCAGTTTCCATGAATCCATAGAAAAAGCAAAGGATGGTTTGGTTATATAAAGTAAAGAGCGTGGGTCTGGAGCCCGACAGACCGAGTTCAGATCCTCGCTCTGCCACCCACAGCCTGTGTGCACTGTGAGCACTGGACCTTGGCAAGTGACTTCAGCTTTGGGGGCCTCGGGTGCCCCAGCTGCAGAGAGGCGACACCATGGCACCCACGTCAGAAGGTGCTGCGAGGATGCAGTGCACAAAATCACGTAAACACTTTATTCTGGTGCAGTGCTTAGGGCATAAAGAGCTTAACAATGTGAGTGGGGCTGGCCCCATGGGGGTGGGTTATCCGAACTTATTAACATCAATGTCGTTAAAGTTGGTATAGAACCCCCACTGCTAAACTTGATTGGCTTAAAAAAAAAAAAGAAAAACAAAACAAACCCCCCAAAAATGTGAGTGGAAAAATGCCAAAAAGAAAAAGAGACAAATGAATATTAAATAGGCAATTCACAGAGAAAACACAATAAACAAAAAAAGATATTCCACCTCAGTGGCAGACACAGTAAGGTTTTCATCCGATGGGCACAAACTGAACAGTCTGGGCGAGTCCCGTGTGAACGTGGGTACGGAGAGGCAGACCCGTCACTGGCTAGCGGCGGGCACGGGCTGGCAGGAAAGGCCTTTTCCGAAGGTGAGCTGGCAGGAGCTACCAGAATAAAGTTGGTGCCTGCTCTTTGAAATCCATCATCTCTGCCCCTTCTCAGGTAGCAACCTTTGGCTTCCTGCCACTGGAGCAGATCCTGTGTCAGAGCTCAGTAAGCGGAGAAGGGAGCTGAAAACTGCCCTATGTTAACGAACATCCAGCCGCCTTCTGCAAGTATGCTGACGGGGCACGCTGGGGCAGAGAGGCTAGAGAAGATTCCCAATGCACTGCAGACAGCAAGTCTGCATGCAAACGGACAGTGGGCCCCTCAGGCTCTTTAGAAAACCAGGGGTGGACATCAGTGCTTGTGGGGAGGGGTCTCATCCCTTCAGATCTACCACGCCGTAAAATACCCTTTGTCCACACAACAGTGGGCTGAGCGCAAATGGGTACGTGCCCGGCACGGAGCTAGGTAAAAATAACACAAATCTTGCCTTCGAAAGCATCACAGGTAAAAGAGATAATGTGTGTCAGTCAGTCTCCATAAGCTGCAGAAAACCACAAAGACACAGTGGGTTCAAGTAAGAAGCAGAGACTTGGGTTTGGTATTTAGAAGAATGTCTGTAACTGAGGAAGTTAAAAACAGCAAAAATTTAGTCTTTGTCTCTGGAGGTGGTGGCTTTTATGAAGATGACTCAGCGACGACACTGTGGCTATTTCCCTGAGGGCAGTAATGGAACACACACTTTCCAGGAGTTCCTTCCAGCTCTGGCATTCCAGAAACCTGCTGTTTAATTCCAGGACTCTGTCCCAGGGTCCTGGCCATCCATGTTCAGGGAAGAAATACACTCTCTACAACAGTGCTGCCTCAGCATCCTGCCTCAGCCACCCAGGAAGGCAAGGAGGGAGAATCTGGGATTGGAAGTCAGCTGGAGAAAGAGCCCAGCAAAACAGAACCAGGGCAATAGCTGATAATGCCGCAGCCGCGATCAGCAGGGATCTCGGAGAGCTTAACTCCTAACTGTACCGTGCCCCGGCACTGTCACCACGCACAGCCCTCCACACCACAAGTGCACCACACACACGTGTGCACACACAACACAACCACCCCACCATGCGCATGCGCACAGACACACACACCCCCGCACGCCCCACACCCTCCTTTACCTGGGCAGGTGCTCTGATCCAGCGATGTCTGCTGGCAGGTCTGGAACTCTGGCACCTGCGGCTCGTCCCGTTTCCTTCTTTCTTCCACCTGGAATGGCTGGAGACTTGGAAGGTCTTTCCAGAGGAGAAAATGGAAAAATTGATTTGTCTTGCACCTCCAGCACTATCTGAGGGAGGTATCTGAATAGATGCCAGGTTGTGATCTGAGGGTGGTCTTGGGCTCCCTCCCGGGGCCTGGAACAGGGTGGCCACTCAGCAAGTGTTTGCTGAGTGAATGAACTTGAAGGCAAAATGGGCCAACTCCATGAACTCGGGTTCCGAAGCTAGACAGAATCAATTCAGATCCTGGTTCTGCTCCATCTAACTCTGCAGCCAGAGACATGTAACTGCCCCAACCCAGAGGCTATTTCCACTTTCTGTGGTAGGCTTTTTAGATACCACTACAGGGTCCTGTATACCCTGTAGATGCTCACAATCTGCCTGTGCAGACCCTATGGGGCAGAGATGGGCCGGAGCTACCACGCCCCACTGAGGCTCTGGATTCTCGTTCCTGGTAGGGATGGTCTGCTCCATGCCAGCTCTAGGTCCCGAAGGGGAAGGAGGTGCGGGGTTGCTGCCAATTCTGTGCACAGCAATTTTCCCCTGAAGGAGCAGATGCTTCAAAGCACCAAAGCATGGAGGTTACAAGTTCTGGTGACACAGAGAGCCTGCAAGAGGACTGGAAACTGCCACTGCTGAGCCCCAGCACCTCCCCATTATTCAGTGTCCTCACGCAGCCCTGTATGAGGCCGGGTGCGAGGACTGACGACAGGTGAGGCATCTGAAGGGACTGCGCTCAGCACCAGGTTGAGACACTCCCTCTCCAACCAGGCTTGTCCGGGGTATCTGACTCTTAGAGAGACCACTGGATCATCAGCACAAACTGGGTGTTACTTATAGGCAGAGGAGAAAGAAATTTCTACTATTTCCTAGTCCCTGGTAGAGGGGGTACAATCCCCATATCTGGCAAAATTAAGATCTTCCTGATTCTTTTTGGGAGAAGTCAGGGACAAGGCAAGACATGCAAGACCAAGACAGAACCTGGGGGGTGGGGGAGGCAACCGGGGGCCGCAGAGAGAGGCCAGGGAACAGACCTGCCTCCCTGGCTGGCAGCAACCTTTCCCCCATCCTTCCACCCAGTTCTGGAATCGTTACTCACCAAAGTAGGAGACCTGGGGCGCTTCTTTCCCCTGGAGGTCCTGCAACTCTGAAACCTGCGGCTCATTCTCCTCTCCCTGGGAGAGATCTGGCTGGGCAGCTGGGTCATCTGTTCACAAAAAAAGGTAAAGTATGTGTTTATCAGTGATCTGCTCCTGCCAGCAAGCAGAGCAGCCCGAAAGAGAGAAGGTGGAGGGATGCCAGCACACCACGGCGTATCGCGGGTACAGCGGAAGTGAAAAGAGACGATAAGTACAAATAATAGGAGAAAAGCGAACACGTTATGTCTGGTTTTGCGTGACAAACAGCCAGGCGAGCCCGATCCACATGTGGTTAGACGGCAGACCATGGTCAACTGGACGAGCTGCAGGTGGGGCTGCTGTGTGCAGATGACCCCTGTCAAGGATAGGGGTGAGCAGAGGGATCTGATGTGGCTCCGAGTTCCCTGATTTTTTTCCCCCTGTTTTTAGTGGAAATGGGATCTCACTCTTGCTCAGGCTGGTCCCAAACTCTTGAGCTCAAGTGATCCTCCCGCCTCGGCCTCCCAGAGTGCTGGAATTCCAGGTGTGAGCCACCACGCCCGGCCCCAGTTCCCTGATCTTATGGGAAGAGGTTGACTCTTGCCCAGAGTGAGACCCCCAAGTTCCCTGGTCTGGGGGTGGGGAGGGTAAGTCTTACTCGGAGGCACTGAGACCCTGCAGTCCTCTTCAATGATGAACTCTCCATAGAAGCCAGTCTGGGCAGGGTCTAGGAGGGACCAGTCCTCTTCAGAGAAGCACAAGATCATGTCCTTGAATGGAGAAGCCCGATTCTGAAACCACAGAACAACAGGGATGCCTCAGTGCAGGGACGAGATAGGTGACTTAGTCCATTCAGGCTGCTACACAAAGTACCACAGACTGAGTGGCTTATAAACAGCAGAAATTCATTTCTCAGAGTTCTGGAGGCTGGAAGTCCAAGATCAAGGCAGATTGGGTGTTTGGTGAGGGCCCGCTTCTTGGTTCAAAGATAACTGTCTTTTCATTATGTTCTCATGTGGTAGAAGGGGCCAGGGAGCTTTCTGGGATCTCATTATAATGACACTAATTCCATCATGAGGGCTCTGCCCTTGAGACCTAATCACCGAGTGGGGCAAAGGCAATACATATAACCTAAACATTTGTACCCCCGTAATACGCTGAAATAAACAATAAATAAATAATTTAAATAAATTTTTAAAAAAGACCTAATCATTTCCCAAAGGTCCTACTACCTCCTAATATCATCACACTGGCACTTAGGATTTCAACATATGAATTTTGAGGGAATGCAAACATTCAGACTATAGCATAGGGGAGAGGGGCCAGGCTCCAGGGTCCGTGCTGCCTCACAATCCTACTCTGAGAACCACTTCACACCTATTTTGTTTGGCAGAATCCAGACAGTGGATGCCTCATGGGGTGGCCAAGGATGTGGCCACCAACAGGCCTTCCTATTCAGGCTGCACACCCACAACTCCCATGGTGGGCTACTGGGCAAAGTCCACCAAATTACCAATGTGCTCACCCTTCAATGCAGAGATTCCATTTCTAGAGTTTATTTCGTACATGTGCAATGTGAGGTCTGTATAAACTCCTTCACCGCAGCATTGATGTAACAGTTAAAGACTGAAAACAGGCCGGATGAGGTGGCTCACACCTGTAATGCTAGCACTCTGGGAGGCCAAGGCGGGAGGACTGCTTGAAGTCAGCAGTTCAAGACCAGCTTGAGCAACACTGAGACCCCGTCTCTATTAAAAATATAAAAATTAGCCAGTCACGGTGGTGCATGCCTGTAGTCCCACCTACTCGGGAGGCTGAGGCAAGAGGATCGCTTGGACCCAGGAGTCTGAGCTTGTAGTTAACTACGATGATGCCACTGCACTCTACCCAAGGTGACAGAGTAAGACTCTGTCTAAAAAAAGAAAAAAAAAGACTGAAAACAACCTTCATGACCATCAATAAAAGAAATGATCATGTAAATTACCAAGAGATGATCATATGTGTTAGAAAGAATGAGGGCCTCTCTGTACTGAAAAGAAAGTCTCTCCAAGGTGTGTTGTAACAGGAAAAGCCCCTGTGCAGAAGGGTGTTCAGATTGCCACCACGTTCAGAAGTCAAGAAGGTCAGCTACTTCTGAAGAGGTAGCTGAGACCTTGGGGTTAGGTGTAGCAGGGAGACTTTTTCATACACTTTAAATAATGGACCATGGGAATGCATCAAAAAACAATTTTTAACTTTCAAAATGATGGAATATCCATATGATACCAGAAGTCCTTTACAGAATTGGAAAGGACTCTAAAATAAAATTTTTGTAGAGAAAAAATACAACTTGTAGGACTTTTGTATTACTAACATCTATGTGAAAAACAAAAAAGAAACAAAATAGAATAATTTTTTAAACATATGTCCTTGCACCTGCCTAAATCTCTGGAAGACTGCCAATTACTGCCATATGGGTTCCCTGGGTGACAGGGCCCAGGCAGCCGGGACAGGGCTGGGAAGGAGAGTTTTCAATGAGTGTTCTCTGGTACCTTTGTACCACCTTCTCCATACACGCACTTTTTTCTTTTAAACTAAAACCTGGGAAAAATACAGAGAGAAACTTTGCTAAATATATATTATGTCTTTAAATGTCAACCCTCAGGAGTACAAGTGAAATTCAACAGTCTTCCATATATTTACAACTATTATTTTGTGTGTGTGTAAAATCCCATCCAAGTAAAAAAGACTGGAAGCATGATGCACGGTGCTGCACTGTGTCGTTGAGAATGTAGGAAAATGGGTCCTCAAACACACTTAGGAGGACCGCACATTTATAGACAATACTTGGGAGCATGTAACAAAAGCAAACTGAGATCCAGTAATTCATTTGCAGGAAATTTTCCTAAGGAAAATAATCAGAGATATATGCAAAGATACATGTAAAAGGACATACAACACATTATTCCACAGAGGTTTCTTCTCTTCTTTATGCTTTTCCCTAGTGTCTGAAGATTTGTTCTGAGCATGAGTCATTTTTATTGCATTATTAAAAATGGTGACCAGCCTGAACAAGAGCGAGCCCCGTCTCTACAAAAATTAGAGAAATTAGCCAGGCATGGTGGCACATGCCTGTAGTCCCAGCTACTCGGGAGGCTGAGGCAAGAGGATTGCTTGAGCCCAGGAGTTTGAGGTTGCCGTGAGCCATAGTGATGCCACTACACACTAGCCCAGATGACACAGGAAAACTCTGTCTCAAAAAAAAAAAGAAAAGAAACAAAATACTCATGTCCCCACCACTAAGATTTAAAAACTGTTGACATACAGTGATCTTAGATTTTCTTTGGCAGGGCAGGGTGTCACAGGTGGGACTGTGGTCTCTGAGCTTTTTCTGCTCTCAGTCCCTCCCCTGCCCTCCACTCTGGAGATGGTGTTTAATATTCAGTGCATGCCTTTTAAACTTCAACAACATCTGAATACAGCTCAAAACAATATCATGATATCATTTAAAAAACTGTTTTGTTTGTTTTCAAATGTTAAACTTGCGTTATACTCACCATCATGGTTAAGATTACTTCATGTCAATACATGTAAGTCTAATTGGTTGACTTACACGAATGTATTCAATTTCAGTGTGCAGTTGATTTCACCCATTCTTTGTCAATAATGTTTAGGTTTCTTCCAGTATTTTGCTATTATAGGCAACAGTTCAATGAACTCTCTTGTCTACCTGCCCTGTCCATATGTAAAAGTATCTCTAGTGTATACATGTAGGAGAATTATTACACTAGACCACCGGGAACACATCTTCATCAATGTTAAATATTTCTACATCATTCTTCAAGTGTAGCACCAAGTACACTCCCAAGAGCAGCACACTGGTACCCCTGTCTCCAAACACCTTTGTCAACACTGGGTGTTGTCACGTGTTGGAGACTCTGGAGATGCCCTCGGTGTGCAGCAACCATAGCATTACAACTCCTCTTTCTCTGGTGAGTGTTGCTTCATGGGTTTATTGGAGAACTAGGTTTCATCTTGTTTGAGATGCTCATTTATTTTCCTTGTCTATATTTCTATTGCATTTTGTTTTTTTAAAATTGGCTTGTAGTTTTAAATGGTGGGTATATTTCACTATTACGACAGAAAGGAAAACACTACTTCAATTTTAAAGTTAAATATAATCTAAATGTGTTTCAATCATTCATGGTGGTATAAGTAATCAGGAATATTGGTGGTATAGGATCAGTATCAAGAAAGTATTTAACAAATTAGTATGGTAATAATTTTGATAAAAGAGCTCTGAAATCAGAAATGTGATTTTGGAACAAATAGACTGATACAGAAGAGAAGAAAAAGTACAGAAACAAAATTTGGTCAACAAAAATTTAATTTATAAGAAAGAACAAAACAATGAGGAAAGAGAAAGATGATTTTTATCCAATGTGCCTGATATAAATTATTGACTATTTAGAAATCAAGTAGATTCTTATTCTTAATTATAATTAAAAAAAAAAATTAGAGAACCAAAAGATTTTTAAAAAAGGTCTGTCAGGGAATAAAAATAAAGAAACTATATGAAAAAATGACTAGCAGATGTTCTACATAAAAATTATAAATATCTGTAGCAATGAAACAGCATGAATGAAATTAAAGATAAATGACAAGCTGAAAACAAATGTTTATCATCTAAGAAAGGCAAAGAGTATACCCAGAGCCCATGTACTGCAACTGTAAAAGCCTTCTAGCCCAATAGAAAAAGAAAATGGACCAAGAAAGTAGGTTTCTAAAAACATACAAGAAGGCCAGGCGTGGTGGCTCATGCCTGTAATCCTAGCACTCTGGGAGGCCGAGGCGGGCAGATTGTTTGAGCTCAGGAGTTCGAGACCAGCCTGAGCAAGAGCAAGACCCCGTCTCTACTAAAAATAGAAAGAAATTAACTGGACAACTAAAAATATATAGAAAAAATTAGCCGGGCATGGTGGCGCATGCCTGTAGTCCCAGCTACTCGGGAGGCTGAGGCAGGAGGATCGCTTGAGCCCAGGAGTTTGAGGTTGCTGTGAGCTAGGCTAACGCCACGGCACTCACTCTAGCCAGCGCAACAGAGTGAGACTTTGTCTCAAAAAAAAAAAAAAAAAAAAAAAAGAATTCTATCAAATGTCCAAATAATTAACACCAATTCTACACAATCTCTTTGAGAAAATTAGAGGAGGGGACACATCCCAGTTCATTTTATAAAGCTAATATATTACCGATACCCAAACCAGACGAAGATAGTACAGAAAAAGAAAACCACAGACCAATATATCCCATGAATATAGATACAGCAATCTTGAACAAAAAACAGCAAATAGAATTCAGCAATCAGCAATATGGAAATAGATTTTTATACCATGACAAGACGGAATTTGTTTCAGGGATGCAAGGTTGGTTCAATATTCAAAAATCAGTCAATGTACTTTACCACATTAATAGGCTAAAAAAGAAAATTCACATGATATTGACTGAAGCAGTAAAAGCTTTGCAAAATTCCACATCTGTACATTATAAAAACTCTCAGAAATACAGAAACTAAGGAACTTCCTGAACTTGATATAAAAGAATTTACCAAAAAACTTACATTTTGTTTGTTTGTTTGTTTTAGGCTAGTAAAGTGAAGCAGTGGGAGTGAAGAAGGAACAAAAGGATCTGTAGCTGGTTGTGACCCATTAGTTGTAAACACCATTGCACTCAGACCAGCCCTAACATTACACTTAATGGTGAAAGACCGAATGAATCCTTTCCCTCTAAGATCAGGAACAAGGCAAAGATCTCT